TGATGCTTATCCCTTTGAAGACATTTCAAGACCTAGACTGGTTCAGTCAAAGGCCTTCTCTGGTTCAGTTAAATCGCCCCAAGATTTTCCTGATGCTTATCCCTTTGAAGACATTTCAAGACCTAGACTGGTTCAGTCAAAGGCCTTCTCTGGTTCAGTTAAATCGTCCCAAGATTTTCCTGATGCTTATCCCTTTGAAGACATTTCAAGACCTAGACCGGTTCAGTTAAATCGTCCCAAGATTTCCCTGATGCTTATCCCAGTCAAAGGCCTCCTCTGGTTCAGTCAGATCGACCTAAGATCTCCCTGATGCTTATCCCATTGAAGACATTTCAAGACCTAGACCGGTTCAGTTAAATCGTCCCAAGATTTTCCTGATTGCTTACCCAGTCAAAGGCCTCTCTGGTTCAGTCAGATCGACCTTAAGATCTCCCTGATTCTTATCCCAGTAGAAGACACCCCAGATTTTTCTCAACGAGCGTTGTTGAAGTTAAAGTCACCCAAGGCTCTCTTACCATTCATGCTAAGGAAGTAATCATCCCTGGTTCTTTTATCGCCGTTTGAAGTTCCAGACTCAGCTCCTGTAACCAGTTAGGACGCATCTAAGCATCAGCTCCTGCAACGTGTCAGGTACTCATTTTCTGTTTTGCAGGTATGCAGGTTCTCGCTAAAGAATCTCCTACGCGATCAACATCCAGATGGCATCTATAAGCCCATCATCTAATCCAGCAATCTCCAAATGGCATCTATAAGCCCATTCCACCCTTATTGCTAACATGTGAGCGCAAATTTCCGGGCACTCTAGTGTCCAATCTTCTTTTACCATCGGATTACGAAAGGCACGTCAGCCAATCTGCATCCTCAGGTCTAAGAAGATTGAACAGGGGCAACTGTTATACCCCAAAATTTGCCCTCCCATTTTCCTCAAGAAATTGCCAAGCCAAGTCACAAAATTCCCCAAGGGTTGTGCAGTGCAACAGTCTCACATGCAGTCAAAATTAGGGTTTTGAGTCTGATCAAGAAAAGGAAGTGTTCAAAGGCTCAATCAAATCTCATATGCTTACAAACATGGTCAAGCATCCTCATACCAAGTTTCAAGACATTCAGCACAAGATTGCATAGCCAAAACCCTAAATTGCACTACAGTCAACTGTAGGGGCAAAATGGTCATTTGGCAGTCAAAAGTTCAAATTTTTGGTCAACCTATCATTTTGAAGCCACAAACATCATTTGATCAATGCTTGATCATGATTCTCAAAATTTGGCTCAGAAATCATCAAAGATGCAAAAGTTGCTATATTTGGACAGCTGAAAAAGTCAACTGAAATTGACCAGGGCATAACTTTCACATGGATTATCAGAAAAATTCCATCCAAAGCTCATTTTGAAGAGAAAGACATTTCCTACAACTCATCTTCATACTTCAAGTCCAAGAAATGCTCTCACAAAAAGTTATCAATTTCAACATTACAGGTCATTTTCAAAAGTCAACAAAAAGGGACTTTAAGTCAAAGGCTATAACTTGAGATTGGTAAATCAAAATGATATGGGACCAAAGGCATTGGTTAAAGGACTCAAAGACCTTTCCAAAATGTCCAAGAACATGTGAAAAGCTTAAAAATTGAGCAAGTTATGCCTTGTAGAAGTTGGGAAATTTTTGTGAAATGGCAAAAGTCAACTATCTTTGAAAATCCAATTTTGACAAAAGGGCCCCATTTTTCTCACTTTGTTCATCCTTGTCATGCCACACACGTGTTCCATGGTTGATTTCAAGACCAAATATTGATTTTTTTATTTTATTTAATTTTTGATGATTTAATTCATTTTAATTCTTTGAAAATTCAAATAAAATTTAAAAACCAATGGAATAGTGTCAAATGAACTTGGACAATTCCTATGTATCATGAACCAACTCAAGAAATCAGGCTAGGGTTCATTTGCATACTAGGTCTAGGTTTTGGCTAAAAAGAAGGAAAATGGTTAATGGAAGAAACCCTAAGGCCAATTCTTTCCCAAGCATGAATTAAGGCCAAAAAACTAGCCAATTCCATTCCATGAGATGCATTGAGTCAAACCCTAACCATAGTGCAGCAAAAGGCTCGCTCAAAGGTGATTTGGCAATTTGAAAAATGAACCATAAAATGCAAAACTGATTTCAAAGCTAGGGATCTTTTCAAGCCTTAATTTTTGTTCCATAAGCATCCTGGACCATCACTGAACGTGTCCCAAATCATAACATCTTCCAAAACTCTTTGAACTGGTATCTACAAGTGAAACTGTACAGAAAAATTTTTGAATTCGTGTTCTTGATTCTACGCATCCTTTTGCATTTTTAATTACATATTCATGTTCCTCACAAAGTTTCCAAGCTGTTCATGGTATTTAATTGCATTTTCATAAGCCATACACGATTTTACCATTTTCATGTTCTAGGGTTTCCAGCTTCTTAAATTGGGGCTTTTGTAAATAAGAAAAATCAGAACTTCAGAGCAACACCATTGCATTCCTGGCATCTGGACGAAGAGAATGAGATGCTCGCGCCTAATTTCTGATCACCACAGCCCTATTCGTTATTTCTCCATAGCCACCCTAACGCCATGGTTGAAAAACCGTGGCCAATGTGTTTTGTTTTTTTTCAGGGATGAAGATGATGATGCGTTGTCAGCCATTGGTTCGCTAATTTGAATTTGCGCGCGTTTTACTTATTACGCATGGGTTTTGTTTTTTATTATTTAATGACTATTATATATTAATTGAAAGTGAAGTGGCTCAGTGGTAACGTGTTAGGCACATGATCTCAAAGACCTGGGTTCAAGTCCCAGGTCTTGCAAAATTCAATATTATTTTTCATTTCCAATTCACATGCAGCGCTCACATTGATGCTCACCATACTCCATCAGAATTCAGCCTCCACGTGTCCCAGGGCCTCAGATCCATGGCCAAGATGAAGAGTGCACCATACATCAAGTCAACACGTTGGCACAGGATCCAGAAAAGTCAATGATTTCAATGCAAATGGGCCAAAATCACCAGGCCTACACCTCCAAATTTGAGACCACACCCCCCTGGTTCTATCTTTCTTTTCTTTTTTCTAATTTTCTTTATATTCTATTATTTCTAAATTTACTTGTGTATTTTATTTTCTGATTTAATTAATTCTTACAAAAATATAAAAAACATTAAAAATACAGAAAAGACAAAAAAAATATAAATAACTTTGATTACTTTTATAAATAAATTAAATTGTAAATCATTTAGTTTAATTAAGTTTTAATTTTAATTCTTTTTCATAATAAAAATCCAAAACAATGTAGAATTAGGTTAATTATTAATTTTTTATATCTTTTTTTAATTTTTCCTTTTTTCTCACAATATTATTATTTATTATTTTTCATTTCCATAAATCAGAAATTGTACATAGATTAATTTAGAATTAAATTAAGTTAGAAATTAAACCTCTTTCTTAAAAACTTAAAAAACATTAGAATTAACACTTTAATTTTAATTAATTTTTTCCTTTTTCTTTTAAATCTAAAAAACACAAAAAATACTACTTTTCATTTAATTTTAATTTTAGATTTCTTGATTAATTTTAATTGTTTGTAAAAGGGTCCAACGCCCTAATTTTGTTTAAACTCTTTATTTCGCGCATCTATTTTATATTGTGTAAATAATTCTGTATATGCCCCAAAGCCATGTAATTTAAAATTCTCGCATCTTTTATTTATTCGCTTTATTTATTTTCAGTCAAATCGGGTTCGGTTTTTTTGGCGATGTGGACCCGCGCCAGTTGTAATAATTTAGATTTATTTTCTTGCAAATATATAACTGTTAATAAATATGCATGAAAGAATGTATGCCCAAAAAATAAAATCGAATCGTTAGATCACCATTGCATGACAAGACAAACCATAAACTGAAAATGACACACAATTCGCACACACCACCCCTAGGGTACGCCTCACTGTTGCCTTTCGAAAGGTGGTCGTCGAGTATAGGACGTTTTAGTAAGTCCTTATGTCCATGACATGATCCAGTTGCCTCGAAACGGTTGCCTCGGAAAATAAAGGATCAATGGCATAAGGGTAGCTTCTAAGGTGTCCTACTGTTGCTCTGGTGACCACCACGTCCCTAAAACTCGAATTGACCCGAACACCTCCTACGGTGGTGCTACCTACCTCTCAATGGTGGGATGGCACTACCTTAAAGGACATTTACACAGACTAATTCCTTAGGGTAGGTAGGTTCTCAAAGGTACTTGCTCTCTTCAAAAACAAAACAAATAATACTTTTCACACCAACACTTTCAAAAACTTTCAAAACAAATTTTTCAAAACACTCTGACGCACGAGTTAAACTGAAACTTTTCAAAGAATATTTTTGAAACCCACAATTGAAAAGCAAACAAACAATTTTGAAAACACATTGAGCAAGTACCTAAGAGCCCATGGATAACCATGGATAGAAAGGGTGCTAACACCTTCCCTTTCTATAACCTACCTCCCGAACCGAGAGCAATCTCTTTAAAGGAATTTTTCTGTGCTTTTGTCCTTTCCAATTGGAGAAAATAAAAGACGGTGGCGACTCTTGCTTACCGCGACATTTTCGCGAACCAGCGTTAAACAGTCAGTTCCAGATCCACCGATCACACTATCATTGTATATTCGTTCAAAGTTACCGCACTTTATTAAGAAACAAGTCATGGCTTCATCATTCATTACCCAAACTGCTTCATTCAAGATCAAAGGTTTTCAAACATTAAAGGTTCATTCAAGTTCTAAACTTCAATAGTGATTCATTCCAAAATAACACGAGTGTAAAATGACAACCATGTTACTAAGTTAATTAAACTCATTACATCATTGAAAAGCCACAAAAGTTTCCTAAAAAAAATATAATACTCCATGATAAACTTCAAATTCCAAGATCACAAATCCAAATTTCATTCTCTAGTTCAAGTTATGTTGATGGTAGTGATTATCAAAATAAAAAAATATACTATGGGTGCTACAAATGCCAACACTCCAAATGTTCCTGGTAGCACTGATGGAAAGCCTTTTCTTATAAAGGATGTGAATGTTGAATCTCCTGGCGTCTACTCTTCCAGTAGGCCTGTTCAGAGTGGTGGACAACTAGCTTCCGGAGGAGCAGAAAGTTCACATTTGTCATTACTCGAAAATTCTACAACTGAAAGTCATCTATGCGAAAGTTTCATCCTTCTGATGAGCAGCATGTAAATTCATCCAAGCCTGGGATTTCAAGTTCTGATTCGTCAAAGCAGTTTGGCAATATTAATGAGACAACCAGTTCAGCCCTGTATCAATTAACAAAATTGGCTTAGAAAAAGAAACCAAAATAATTAAGTAAATAACTTTCAATTTCATTCAAATCTAAGGTCAACCTATCTGTAAAGGATGTTAATGATTGGAATGGTGGTTTGCTAAAGGAAGACGTGTTAGTAGACTATCAAAGAGGAAATATTGAGACGATATTCATAAACAATTATGTTAGGACAGATAGATCTCATGGGTTCAGAGCATTGATGGTAATGGAGGATCATTCACTTCTATTAGTTCAAAAAGGAGAAATTGTCTGGAGTAGAGAGGATGGTCTTTCCTCAGTTGTTGATGTAACAACATCAGAACTACCTGTGGAAAAAGATGGTGTATCTGTGGCAAAAGTAGAACAAAACCTATTTGAATCTAGTATAACTAACTGTTATAAAAAAAATTTCACTGGTAGTTACCAACAGAAAACAATTTCCTAACTGTCAAACCAAGTTTTTCATAATAGCCCTGCAATAAACCAATTAAACTACTAACTGCAAACAGAATTAACAGAATTTTCTAACTGCATCCTACCAGAATTCTCCTAACCACCTAACAAATTCATAACTTCCTCTAACCAACCTCCCAACAGTGATAACAGAATAACTAACTTTCTAACTGTCTTGATCCACCCTGAATAATCAATACAACTAATATAAGAGAAAGAGGGATAGAGGATCAAAAAAAGAAGGAATTTTTTCATCAATTCACACACAGATATGCATTGTTATTTTTATTCAGAGAAAGACTACAAAAGAAACTTACCAATTCATATTGATTCAGGAATTTCAAGAAGAATCTCCATAAACCTCTTCCTTCTTCCCTCCCCTTCATCTTCATCTTCTCTCTTCACTCTGCATTTTTCAGAATCCAGCCCTCATTCATCTCTCTGCAATCTGCACGCAGAACTCACCATCTTCATCTCTCGTTCTTCAATCCATTACAAGAATGTGATAAACGCTTTAACCACATTAACTATGTGCAACTCTTCTCAGCATATGCAGTCAAACAACAACATCGCCTCAATCTCTACACTTTCTCTCTTCTAACTGTATTCTCTACATCAAATCCATAGAAGAATTCACGAAGTCTTCGAAAACTTTCTTCATTCATTAGGAATTTACACAAAACAAAAATCTCAGAAAAGATTACACAGAGATTCATATAGAGATTCATTATCCACAAAAACAGAAAATCTCAAAAGGAAACTCACCAAGAAAAAGCACAAGAAACTTCTCAATTCGTCTTCTTGCAATTTCTAAAACCGCACAACATCACTACTCGGCTTCAATCTTCGATCACCTTTTTCAATTCTGCATCGCCTCTTTCAAACCTCCACCTTTGCATTTTCTTCATCACCTTACAACCTTCATCCTCATCTTCTTCGCACTCTTTGAACTACCATAACTCCCTCTGAATCACACACTCTCTGAGCCTTATCACCTTCACCAACCATCACCTTCTCAACCTTCATTCATCTTCCTCCTTCACCGCCAATCTTGAACTTTGTCACCGTTATCACCACCTCACCATCATCACCATTGAAACTCTTCAATCATCATCAATCTCTGCAACAGGTCCTCAACATCTTCATCACTGCACATCCATTCCTCTGCAACTAAATCATCAACATAGATTCATCATCTTTAACGCACATCGTCGACTTGCAAGCAATCATATATTATTCACGCAGCTTCACTCATCTTTGCAATCATTTATGCTTAATGTAGCTTCACTCATCTTTGCATTCTTCAAATGGTTTCATCGATCTTCTTGAATCAAGTCACTGATCTGCATCTAGAATAACTCCAACGCAATAACAACAACTTTTCTCAATTAATAACGTCAACACCAATTTTCTTCTTCATCGCGTCGCAAAAACTAATGCAGAAGAAAAGAAGAGGAAGAATACGCAGTTGTGGAGAGAAATTAAAGATACATACCTGATGCATTGTTTTCCATTATCGCTATCGAAGACGCGCTAGACGTTCTCCGACAACGGAGATGTGGCGTTGAGAATTTACGGTGAAGAGGTGAGATGAGACCAGAAAGAAATCATTCAAAGCAAGGTTGAGAGACGAAGAGCTGAAGTGGAAAGCATTCAGAGAAGATAGTGTAGTCGCGCCGCCGGTGAGAGAGTAAGGAAGAAGAAAGAGTGAGTATTGTGGAATCTGAACGGAAACACAACCACAACCATAAATCCATGAATTCCTCTTTTCAATTTCTGTGTGTTTCCCTGCTTCTTTTTGTTATTGAAACAGGGATACAAAAATGGTTGTTCATTGTTGTTGTGTGGGCCGCACTAAAACCCTTTGATTGAACCCAATGGCATTTTTTGGTGAGTTGAAGCATGATACGCAAAAAGGTAGGATTGGGTTTACCAGGTTGGTCTGAATGACATTCTAAAGCCCAATTGGTTTTTTTTGGTAGCTGACTTGAAGCGTAAACAAGAAAATCTCAATGGACTCTATTGATTGGGCCTTAGTGCCAGAATTCTACAATACCTCCTGGATTCCACTTGCACCCCCCTTGGGCCTCTTTTTCTTATTTTGTATTTTTATTTTGAACAATTTTGATAATTATTTAAATTTGTTTGAAATATTTTTCTTTACATGGTAAAATGATGCAAAATAGTAGCATATTTTTTTAGAATTCTTTAGGACTTTTCTTTAGAATTTTATTACAACGTTCTATTATTTTATGTTTAACAATCATTTTCATTATCAGTTTAGTCAAGATTTTGTGATTACTCATGCGGAGAAACTTCTGTAGAGTTCTCTCATCATTTGCGTGGCTTCGAAGAGGCAACAGACCCTCTCCGTTCGGTATCATCACAACTCTATTTTATTCTTCATTTACGCACTTTATTGCTTCCTAGAAATCATGAGAATTAGGGCTTTACCGCAAACTATGCATGCTAACATTAGGTAGATTTCCCTCAAAATTCTAACCTTAGGACCACCATCGCATAATAACATTAGGTGTAGAAATAGGCTAGTATCCCTTTGACTTTTCTTTCCCTTTTCGCATATGCATCTAAAACAAAAACTTCTTTTTTCTTTCAAAATTCAAAACACTTTAAATTTACTGACGAGAATCATATCTTCGTTAAGTATGTGAGATGATAAGTGGGTTTCTTCTCGACCTTATTATTCTCTTATTCTAGGCTTCGGCGTGGTTCAAATCTCAAAGAATCATTTCACGAATAAGTAGAGACATGGCTAAAATCTCTCCCTTGAGACTAACTAGTTATTCTCTACAAACAAAAACACCAACAAACATAAAATTCTTTTTGCCTTCGGGCCCTTTCTTTCAAAACCTTTTCAAAAGAGCATATTAATTCACTTCTGTGTTGATGCGTAAATCTCCAAAGGTCGAGTTGCGGCAGAAGGCGAGATTAATATCTTTCATTTAAAACACAAACAAGTTCAAACCATTTTTGTGCGTCCAGACACATTTATTTCCAAACTTTTCAAGAAAGAACAAGTTAATTCACTTCTGTGCTGACGCGTAAGTCTCCGAAGGTCGAGTTGCGACAGAAGGCGAAATTAATACTGTTCATTAAAAAATATAAACCGACAAAAACATAAGCCGAACTACGGCTGCTCTGATTCCTTAAAAGGGATACGTAGGCATCGGGTTAGGGCCCGAACAAGCACAATTTTATTTTCCCCTACATACTTTCCCCTTTCTTTTGCATGCACCTTCCCTTTAGCAATAATAAACGGTAAGCATAGATTAAACACACCCATAAGATAGAAAACAAGAGTGGATACAGTAGAGTACTACGGGCGTGTGGGGTGCTAATACCTTCCCCTCGCGTAACAGACTCCCTTACCCTTATCTCTTGGTCGTTCGACCTTGATTTCACCCTTTCCAGGTTTACTCGATGTTTACCTTTCCCTTCCTGTGGGATAAAAGATGTTCGATGGCGACTTCATTGTTCGATGATTTTCAGCCGGTTATTTCAGAGAGCATATGAGACCTTTGGAGTCCACCTATCTTGATGAAAATGGAAACCCTAATTTGAGACACACTGCCTTAGGAGAGAGTTTGTCTGGTCAACTCTTAGGAAAACTTGAGCAAATTGAGGATCTCTAGGAGTATGTGTTGAGTAAAATGAGAGGGAAAATTTTGGGGTTCAACAGGTGCCCCTGTTCAATCTTCTTAAAATTAAGGATGTAGATTGACCCGTCTGCCTTTTGTGACCGGAAGGTGGAAGATGATTGAACACTAGAGTGCCCAGAAATTTGCACTCGCCTGATTTATGATATCGGGAATGGGATTATAGATGCCATTCAGAAGTTGCTAGAGAATTGTCGGAGATGGGCTTAAAGATGCCATCCAAGATGTGACGGAGCATCGTCGGAGATGGTCTTAAAGATGCAATCTAGAGAATGTTGATTTCCTGAGACATTCCTCCGATGGGAGTTCATGTTCTTGTCGTCGAGGAGGAATCTGCTGAGGAATGTTGGTATCGGTCTTGGGAGAAATAGAATTTTAGGAGTTTCAGTTATCCGTTACTCTATTGGGGGAATAACTCCTGCTTGAGGAAGCGGAAGTGAACTGGATATTTGGTCAAGGTACAAGCTGCAATGCGACTTACTGGGGAAATGTGAAACTAATCGTGTTTGATCAGGTCCAGGTCTTACAGTGTTGCTGTCTGGAGAAAAGAGAAAAGAAACCTGGATAGTAAGGTTATGAGAAGGAACCTGGATAGTAGGGTCACTTCGATATGAAAGCCTGGATAGTAGGGCTGTGAGAAGGAACTTGGATAGTAGGGTTACTTCGATATGAAAGCATGGATAGTAGGGATGTGAGAAGGAACCTGGATAGTAGGGTTACTTCGATATAGAAGCCTGGATAGTAGGGCTGTGAGAAGGAACCTGGATAGTAGGGTTGCTTCGAAATGAAATCCTGGATAGTAGGGTTGTGAGAAGGAACTTGGATAGTAGGGTTACTTCGATATGAAAGCCTGGATAATAGGGCTGCTTCGAAATGAAATCCTGGATAGTAGGGCTATGAGAAGGAACCTGGATAGTAGGATTACTTTGAAATAAAAGCCTGGATAGTAGGGTTGTGAGAAGGAACCTGGATAGTAGAGTTACTTCGATATGAAAGCATGGATAGTAGGGTTGTGAGAAGGAACCTGGATAGTAGGGTTACTTCAATATGAAAGCCTGAAAAGTAGGGCTGTGAGAAGGAACTTGGATAGTAGGGTTACTTCGATATGAAAGCCTGGATAGTTGGGCTGTGAGAAGGAACCTAGATCATAGGGTTACTTCGATATGAAAGCCTGGATAGTAGGGCTGTGAGAAGGAACCTGGATAGTAGGGTTACTTCGATATGAAATCCTGGATAGTAAGGTTGTGAGAAGGAACCTGGATAGTAGGGTTACTTCAAAATGAAAGCCTGGATAGTAGGGCTGTGAGAAGGAACT